GGGATCTGTTTCGGAGAATAGGTAGATAGATAGAATCAGGTAGGTAGGTAAGTAGGTAGGTAGGTAGGTAGGTAGGTAGGTAGGTAGGTATGTAGGTAGAAACGTTGTTAGTAATAGAACTAACATAAGACTGAGAGAGACTAGGAGAGACTAGGAGAGACTAGAACCAACCGTCACGTTTGCGGTCATTGCTTTTGGTTTACCATCCGCAGCTCACCCGCATTTGCTTACGATTAACGTGTTCCAGTGTATTTCTAAGGCTATTTCTCTCTGTACCCTAGTGGATAACTGGACTTTACTACGTTTCTACCCTACGGACTCTACCCTATGTCTAACTTTCTTCATTGACTTACTTGTCTCTTGCTTGCTTGCTATCTGTATCAAGCTTTGTTGACTTTATCTCTTAGTTCACTTAGTTAGTTTTAATATAAAGTCATTCTGACAATAGTTCTTTAAAAATCCGATACCTAATCCGATCAATTGAATAAATCATTTCGTCGGGGTTACCCGAAACTTTTCCCTTCATCAATTCGTAATATGTCATTTGCTAAATTTACACGCCGCTAACCTAGATTCTCGTATTGAGGTCACTTGGCATTCGATGAGAATCCAGGGAGAAACTGTCGATAGACGTCTATAGTTCTATTTTTATAATCTACGACAATTCTTATTATTTCATATTATTTCAATATAATCTAATTAATACTAGAATCACACCGAGAGAAAAATAAATGAATCTATTTTTACCAAAACTGGTTCAATAGTCTTTCAATATATATATATTTATGTTATTGGAAAGGAAAGAAAAAGGAAATGAGAAATAGGCAAAATAAAAATCCTTTAAAAACCAGTCATTTTGACAGGAATGGTAATTCTAGCGTTAAAGATACGCTTTTCTTCATTTGGTCAATATTTGAATGAAATTATGAGGAGGTTTGCATTTTTTCTACAAGATGTCCCATTTACAAAATCTACTTAACAAATTATAACAGTTAGAGGTTCACGTTGAGGTGCAGCAATAACGGTTAGCTTTTAGACTGAAAATTCGTTTAACCTCAGTTATGTGTATACACTTGTTACACACAGTTCTCGTTTCACACTCGCCGACCGTGGGAATTGCTCGGACGTTAGGTAATTTAATGATATCTCAGAACGTACTTGAGCGCGTGAGAGAGAGAAAAGAGTTGCGAACTCGGGATGGTTGATCTAACAGAAAAAGAGAGAGAGAGAGAGAGAGAGAGAGAGAGAGAGAGAGAGAGAGAGAGAGAGAGAGAGAGAAAAAAGAAACCCATGCATATAATCTACGAACCTCACACGAGTAATAAAAGATAACGGTGAATGAAATGAACTCTTCATTGATGATTTTTTACTAACCGTTAATCAACATAGTTTCATAAAAGCATTCGAGTATTAGTATTAGGTACACATTATATAATTCATTAAAATAAAATTATGTTATGTAAAAGTAATAGAACGAACTCGTATACGAAAAATGGATAAAACGAAAAATATCGAATTTTGTGGTGAAATAAAAGATCGTATTAAATTATTTCCATAATAGTGACCGGAAAAAAGATACCGAATTTCGGATGTGCAAATAACGAGGAAGGGTAATTTTCCAGCTCGGAAATCAGAAAAGCGAAGCAAGAGAGTAGGGAAGGTTAACCGTGAACGTGCTGTCACTGACACTTCAACAAGTGGATACAACGCACGCACGTGTCGCTGACGTTTCAACCGCGAGCATATTCTCTCTCTCCCTCTTCCTTTTGCCTTCCTCACCATATGCGTGTTTACGTTTATATATACATATATATCTCTATAACACGCATACACGTGTCACCTTCCCTTCTATTTCGTTCTCTATACGTTTTACGATTGTCTCTCTGCATTCGCTAGGATACGAGCGAAGTATCGATTTACTAAAAAAAAAAAAAGATAATAATAAAAACGTACGACGAATTTTATTTGTTTTTTACTAAAAAAAAAAAAAAAAAAAAAAAAAGGGATGGTTGAATAAACGGATGCACTCGTTAGCAATACCTGTGAGTTTTTATTTAGGAAAATGTACAGANAAAAAAAAAAAAAAAAAAAAAAAAAGGGATGGTTGAATAAACGGATGCACTCGTTAGCAATACCTGTGAGTTTTTATTTAGGAAAATGTACAGAGAAACAATGTAAAAACTCTGACACAATATTCGTTTTATTTATCCTGTGGATGATCCATGAATGAAACTTCTTTTCATTAATAACGTGGTAAAAGAATCGATCTATACGCATGAGTATTAAAATTTAATGAAATAATGTTAAGAAATAAAGGGATGTGTTCTTAAGAAAATTTTTAACTGAATAAGATTGAGTCAAGTGAGGACAAGGAGATAAAAGAAGAAAAAAAACATTTTGTAAAAATGTGCATGCATGGGTATCGTAACATCGATCACGTGTAATCATAATTAATTACAATTACAGAACATTTCCCATTACTTTGTTTTCTATCAGTTCATATTTCACGTGTTTTCATCTCTTACCAATTTAAGAGAAAACTGTAATTACTTTCAAAAACCAAAACGTACAGGTCATTAATTATATTTCGATGGAAATACTTTCCTCGGTATAATAACGACTCATTATTATCTTCCTTGTTTCATTTTAATTAACCAAACCAACCTGCAATATTAGATTTCCTCGACAGATAGGCAATAAAAAAAAAAAAAATAAATAACAAGAGTAAAATAATCGTTATTGGTATAAAATAACATTTTCCAATGAATTGAGTCTCACAACAGTGATTATTAATTGATTCGTCCAGAAGCCAACGGGTTAAATCAATTAACTGATATTTTTTGTAAATTTTAATGAAGCACATAACACTATTTTCAGTTATTACAAGATTTATTCGTTGTTTCGTTTTATTTTAGTTTCATCATTTGCCAAAAACGCTAAAATCCTGCCAATTTTTAAAATACAACCAACGTCAAGATAAATACTTGCGTTTTCATATCTTGTTTTTATTACAGAACCGATTAATTGTAAATAAAGACGTTATAAACACATCTGATTAAAAAAAAAATCAATGAAAAACATTAATTTTTTCAATTTATATTTACTTGATTAAACCTCTCTTTCTCTTTATGGCTTCCGAACGAATTAATAACGATTCAACGAAATAATTGATCATGTTAGAAAAAATATGATGGATCCTAGAAAGGAGGATGAAAAATGAGGTGATGAAAAAAAAATGAAAATAAAGATATAAAGATAAAAAGAAAGAAAAGAAAGAGAAAAAAAGAGACGCTGAAAGGACCCGTTATGGCGACCGTGTTGCATCGCATTAACCAATCGACCGAGTGATCTTGATCCCATCTCTCACCTTGATATTTCCTCTCTCTCTTTGTCTCTCTCTTTTTCTCACACACATGCACAGTCTCTTGCGGTGAACAGAACTTAATCTCGAACGTGATCTGGCCTCCAACATGAGCATACACTCCCTCTCTCTTTCTCTCTCTCTCTCTTTCTCTCTTTCTCTCTCTCTCTCTTTCTCTCTCTCTCTATCTTTTTCTCTTTTCGTTCTCCCTCGAGAAGATTCGCCTGAAGCGTTTTCTTAGAATTTATAACTATGCGGGTAGTGTTAAATGCGAATATCTTCAACGGTAGAACATTTTCATTTTGAATGACTTTTCTCAGTTGTTAGAGGAGAATATTAGAAATTGTTGTTGAATAATGCATAATCTAATATTTATTTTCTAACCCGGAAACGAATTATATTAAATTATGTGAAACACGTAATATTATAATTTATACTGTTGTAGGGGTTTCATTGTGTATTATTGTGATGATGTAAAATGAGGTTAATGTATTATAATAAGTATTGTAATGATCTACGATTTATTTTATTCAGAGAAACAGGGCTTGAATGAAATTGTTAATTATTATAAATAAAATTTATTTTTGTGTGAAGATTAACCTTTGAAATTATTTTTTTTTTGGGTTTAAGTTAACAATTTTATTTTGTTATAAGAGTTCAATTTTTAAACCCTTATCACTTCTATGTCGAGTGTGCTATAATAATTTCAAACGTTTCAATCTGAAATTAAGATGTGCAAAGGGTTATAACGGTTATTTTATATATTTGGTTAATAAAAAGTTTTGTAGGTAATGTTTATTTCGTAATAGATATTTTAAACTAATATAATATAAAAATTTTAATTATTTTTCACCTATTCAAAATTATTTGAGGAATTGAAAACGAATTCAATATAAATGAGTAAGCAAATCGTGATTTTCATACGATTATTTTATTATTTACTCTTACCTATGCAATACTAAATGGTAAATTTGTTTGAAAGTATTTTAACTTTTTTCAAAGTAGAATAATTGTTATTGCCCATCTAGAACTTCTTCCCATTTCAACAAAAAAAATTAAAAATTATTACTAAGTTTAATTCTTAGGGATGTTTTTTTTGGACAGGTTTAAATTAGATGAACAATCTATTTATCCGTTGAACGTTTTGTCCCTATATTTGGGACTTCCTCAGCAACTCGATAGTTATGTTCACAAGTCAATATAACATCATTTCTCATTACAGTCATAAGTATTCACTATCTTATATATAGAGTCAATTTTAAACCGTTATCCTACCATAACTTTTCGAACACTATTGTGAACATAACTATCGAGTTGCTGAGGAAGTCCCAAATATAGGGACGAAACGTTCAACGGATAAATAGATTGTTCATCTAATTTAAACCTGTCCAAAAAAAACATCCCTTAGAATTAAACTTAGTAATAATATTAGGAAAATTTTGGATAAGAAAACAATTTATTATATTAACATTAAAAATTATCTATTTATACATAAATATATGGAATAAAAATTTCAACGGAACAGAAAATTAGAAAAAAAGAAAAATTACATCTAAACCAATTGAAAAATTTGAACAGTTTCCTTCAAGACTTGCTTAACAGAATAATAAATTATAATAAGACAAAAACTACAACTCACCTAAAGGTCCACCAGATGTTGAAGCACATAGTATTCAGCCAGAAGAAAGCAGCCAAGAAGAAGAAGTGAGCCATGATAGCTGAAACAAAGGAGAAAATAGGTTACACGAGGTAGACAAAATATATATATATATATATACGTATGGGTATACAAAGTGTAAGTATATATTTCTTAGTTAGGCCAAAGATGAAACCATCTAAAAGCTATTAACTTCCTTTGACTCTCTCTCGAAAGGTACTCGTTCTCTTTCTCTCTCTCTCATTTACCTTCAATAGAAAAAGAAGAAGGGATATTTAATTATAGAAGATGGTGCCATCGATCTTTTGATCATAAAATTCCTTCACGCGCTAATGTGTTGCATTGGTGCACCGATGAGATTAAAATACCGTTTGCATGAGTGTGTGTGTGTATGAGAGAGAGAAAGAGATTCGTCTATTTCTTAAATTAACCTTCCAAGTAAGTACAAAGAGTCTCTCTGTACTGAACTAAGTGATGGATACATTGTTTTCATTTTTTAGAATAGGAGAATTAACCTTTGAGAATTATTTCGGTGTTTTAGAAAATTTCTTACTGTTCTTCCTTGAACTTTATATATATATCTATATTTTTGTATAAAAAAAGAAAATTATTTCTATGAAATATTAAACAGGAACGATTTCTAAAGGAAACGATATAAAGAGAAGAAAATTCTCCCTAATATTGAAGATCGTTTGGAGAGACTCCGAAGAGATTTCTGATTTCCTTCCGCATAGGTATCATATATTATTCGAAGTTAGATTTCCCCTTCAAAGTTTCTTATGCAGGACCACAATAATCGTACTCGAATGGCATTCCCTAACGATATATATCTCACGCAGGAACCTTTAGAAAGGGCTACGAGAAGCGAACAAAAGGGCCGTTAAGTCGCATCGAAGGCGTTCTCGCGACTCCTCTTAAAGATTCATGCAACCAAGACGACGAATCTTTATAAGGACCCAAGGACGAAGGGACGAAAAGGGTGAAGAGAGAAATTGAGGGTCCGCGCGAGATCACCGTAGCAAACAAAACTTTGTTGAAACGCGAAGAAGCTGTGACCTGCCAACGACGACGACGACGACGACGACGACGACGACGACAACGGCCATGGTGGTGATGGTGGTGGTGGATGGCTTTTGTTAAGATCCATTTGAAAAGATGACGGTAACTGCAAAAGACCCTGAGGGTTCTCGATCTCTATCAATTTTTCACGATATCCCTACGCGTTCTCTCTCGCCCTTTTCAATTTCCTTCGTCATTTTCGAGAACGTCAAAACGTTTCTCCCAACCACAATCTTTTTCTCCATTATTTTTAATTATTCCCGAGTGCATTAACCTTAAACCACGATTCCATTTTAAGACTACAATGATTTTTGTTTATTTCTTTTTCTTTTTCTTTTTCTTTTTCTTTTTATTATTAATTCAATCGTCCAAAGGCCACAATGAGGGTCAATAGTCGATTTTTCTTCTTCTATAAAGTTTATTGGAATAAATAATATTGTTTTTTAATTATTAAAGGATTTACTCGGTGTCCTTTTTTTCATTGCCAAAAGATAAAAGTCTTAAAGTTTTGTAAGATACTGTCATTATTCCAATAAATATTGAAGTTTTTATTTGCACATTCTATACAGAGTTGGGAAAAAAATAACTTTATATACTTTTCCGATTCAATTAAGAAATCAAACATTTTCAAAAAATGTTTATTTTTTCTGTTTTTGTTTTCTCGAGTTTGCCTTACGAGCGATTCAATTATTCTTTCCAATTACCTAATTGCATTATAAATAGCAAATATTAGTAGCAAGTGTAATTTATTTCTCTCACTAATTTTATTATTAAAATGATAATTAATTAGATTATATTCGGATTTTCACTCGAGTAGTTGATTTTTCTGCTAGAACAAAAATACATATGCTTAAATGTTTTAAATGTATAGCAGCAATGACGCACGAGAATATTTTGTAATCGAGCAAAGAGACTACAGATAATCTTACCATTCACTCGTAACAAGACCGGCGTTTAGAAATGCGTTTCTCTTTTATAAACTCCACGAGATCTCTCTTATAAACACTCGACATAAGATATTCTATAGCGAACGCGAATACGGAATGAATCGAAATTTTTTGGCTGATTAAACAAAAAAATCAGTTGCACGATTTAACTGTGGAAGACTATTGAGAAAGCTGAAAATTTTCCCCTTTTTACTAATTTGTTTGTTTTCAAATAAAAACGTTAATTAAAATAGAACCTTGATTTAAATAATACAAAGATCATAATTATCGAGAAAATGATTTATAATTTAAGATCTGTAAGACGACGAAGAAAAAAATGTATTTTTCTAGGAATTATTTTAACAAACACGCGACCGAACATTACATTTTCTAATGCAAATATCAAATGGATTGAACGGAAAGTTCATACGTCCCACGCGGCACGGAACGTGTTGATGAAAAAAAAATTTTCGATTTTTTGAATTTGATAAATGGCTTTTTCCCCTCCCCCCTCATCCTCAAAGGTCCATTTACTTCGCGGATTACAAAACTAGGAACGTAGAAATTCGAGTGAGTTAAAAATAAAGTTTTCTATCATTCCCGAATCTCGAATTTAATATCTCGATCCGTGTTAAAGAGAAAGAGAAAGAGGAAAAGAAAGAGGAAGAGAAAGAGAAAGTGGTACGTGTGTGCGTGCGAGTGAGAAAGATAGAGAAAGATAGGAGAGAAAGCAAATAGGGAGAATTAACGCGCGTTACGGGTAAAAGTCAGCCGATAACTCTTGGGGGTGTTTTTGGAAGGGGGTGAGGAGGTTGTTGGCTGTGGTAGTGGTGGTTATGGCGATATTGGTTGGTGGTGGGTTGCTTTCGGTTCTCGCGAAAGGACGCACGGTGGTGGTGATGATGGTGGTGGTGGTGGTGGTGGTGGCGGGGTTGCGTTTATCGCGCATTCCGACCGCGCGAAAATAATTAAATTTTCAAAACTAATTACGGTTCGTTGCAATTATAACTCTCGGCGACATTCATCCGTGAACCGGCAGCCGTTCTCCCTCCCCTACCCCCAACTCCAAGCCCCTACCCCTTAGAAATCCAGAGATAAAGAGGCAAGATAGTTTCCGCGCGTATGCATGGGCGCGCGCGCGCGCACGCCCATGCGTGTTGTATTTATATTTAATGAGTGTGTGTAAACGCATACATAGGTTACACATGGGAAGAGTGAGGGTAAATAAAGGAGACAGAAGGGAACCTTCATCGACGAAAATTCAACGGAGACTTGCCCTGCTAGATTTTGTCCCGTCCGTCCCTTCCCATTCCCTTTAGGGACCGTATTGTGTTTGCTGTACCATGCTACCTCAGTCTTTCATCGGTTTTCTCTTCGCTACGAGAAACGCGTGAAAAGGTTCCTTTCTTTCTTTTATTCTTCCATTTTTTCTTTCTTTCTGTCTTTCTTTCATTCTTTCTTTCTTTCTTTCTTTCTTGGAAAGAAGAAAAGAGTAGGGAAAGAAGAGGAGGAGAATGAAAGGACGATTTAAGACTAGATTTACGCAACCCCTCCCCTCCTTCAATCTCGGAGATTATATCATACTTAAAGTTAAGAATATTATAAATATTTTCTTCGTTAGCGCAGATTTATAATGAATTTGTGTATTTTACTTTATGTCGTTGGAAATAAAAAATTGCTTACGTATTTTTTTTTTTTTTTATAAGACGAATTAAAAATAACGTTTTCCTTTTTCATTCCTGATAAATCAAAAGAAAAAGGAATAGATAGAGAAGCACGTAAAAGAATAAGAATAAATCGGGTGGTGCGATCTAAAACGCAACTCCCTCTTCTGATGCAAATCGCGATCCTTTAACTAGCTGACGTTTCAACCTTTCGCACTCACCCTTCGTGATACCACAACTCTCAGGCAAGCTCCACAACGTGTTACTCCGTCCGTCCGTCCGTCCGTCCGTCCGTCCTTCCTTCCTTCCTTCGAGTTTACGCTCCGTGACTTAAATTAACCCCGCGTGGATCCACCTACCCTTCTCCACCTCTTCTTTACCTCCTTTACCCTCGATCATCCCTTTCTCCGAATAACCGCTTACTAGAAACGGTTCATAAGTTAGTCACGAAACCCGTCGGGAGAAATAGAGAGGTGGTGGTGGGGTTTAGGGTTTGGCCTGTGTTTTCTCTCCTCTTCTTGTTCGGGACGAATCATCTTTATCGTTCAAATTTACTGCTATCTATTCTAGATTTACAGATATATTCTATGATATATTTTTTGATATCTAGCCAGAAAGAACCAATTAGAAATGATTCTACCTTTAATAAGTTGAATAATTCAATAGTTTCAATCATTACTTGAATTTTTTGGTAAATTAAAATTATTATTATTATACATATAATTGAGGGTCAAAATTTAAAAAAAAAAAAAAAAAAAAGAAAAAAAAGAATGAGTCACATCAAATTATTTTAAATGAAATTCATTCAATGTAATTTTAACGATATTGATTCAAAAATGAATCGTTAGGTAGTGCTTGTTATTTTAACATTATATGGAATTCATTTAATGTTCGAATGTAATCATTTAAATATCTCGAAAGAAGAGATATATAACTTATTGTTAAATTACTTTCATAATTATGGATGTAAATATTAGTTATTTGGATAAAGTTTAAACTTTGAAATTATTTCTTTTATGTTTTCAATTAATTTTGTATATATATATTATAGCATTTTAATTCTTTTATAAAAGTTCAATTTTTTTCCATATCGTTGAGTGTGGTCGAATTAAATATAGATGAGTAAGCAAGCCGTGATTTTTATGAAATTATTTTATTGCACTTTTACGTACTCTTTAAATTTCCTTGAAAGTATTTTAACTTTTACGAAGTAGAATAATTGTTATTACCCAACTAGAACTTCTTCTCCTCATTTACGAAAAAGTATAAAATTGTTTATTTATACATAAATACATCGAATAAAAGTTTCAATGGATTTGTAACTATTTTCTTAAAACGGGAAAGTTAAAAGTAAACAAATAATTATAACATCAAAACCCATTGAAAATTTGAACAGTTTCCTTCAAA